CGCAATGTGCTTGGTGTTGTCTTATTTGGTATAACCCTTCTTGAGTTGTTCCATGCATGTTGCGTTATATTCATAGATCATTGTTGAGACGTCAACGACTATGTAAAGATTGCAAGAGCTTCGAATATAGCCCACAATTGCTCTCAACCAAAAGCATTCCTGAGTAGCTTTTTGTAAGGCGAGTATATCAGCATGGTTAGACGAAGTGGCAACTAAGGTCTCTTTAGTTGACCTTCAAGATATTGCAGTGCTTCCTACGGTAAAGACATAACTCGTTTGAAAACGCGCTTTCTACGGGTCAGATAAGTAACCTACGTCGGCATAACTAACAATGAGATAATCAACTCGAGATAAGGGTGCGGCATCACTTGAGGATCCGTAGGGATAGAATAGGCCCATATCCGTAGTACCCTTAAGGTAGCGGAAGATGTCTTTAACACCAATCCAGTGTCTGTGTGTCGATGCATTACTGTATCTTGCTAAAATATTAACAACAAATGAAAGGTCGGGTCTAGTGCTTTGAGCTAAGTACAATAAAATGCCTATCATACTTAGATTAGGAACTTAGATTAGGAACTTCGAGTTTCAAAATCTCTTCATCATCCTCTTTCGGACGAAAGGGATCTCATTTTTCACCTAGCGGTCATATAACCATAGGAGTACTCGAAGGCTTCACTTTATCCTCGTTAAAGCGACGCAACATCTTCTGGGTGTAGTTCGATTGATGTACTAAGATTCCATTCGAACAATGCTCTATCTCGAGATTGAGATAATATCGAGTATTTCCTAGTCTTCATCTCAAATTCTGACTTCAGGTGCGCGGCAGTTCTCTTGAGCTCTTCAAGAGTTCCTATAAGGTTCTTGTCGTCAACATAAACTGCAACAATTGTAAAACCAGAATGTGGCTTCTTAATAAACACGCAAGGGCAGAGTTCGTTGCTCATATATCCCTGACTAGTCAAATACTCACTTAGACGGTTATACCACATTCTTCCGGATTGTTTCAAACTATATAGTGAACGCCTCAGTCAAATTGAGAGCGCGTTCTGGGTTTTGAAAATATTTAATCTAATCAATGTAAGTCCTTCGGGAACTTTCATATAAATTTCCTTAAGATCTCCATAGAGATGCGCAATTACTACGTCCATCAGCTGCATACTCAATTTTTTCAGAAACTACAGAACTGATAAGGTATCGAAAAGTAATAACATCCATAACCGGTAAATAAGTTTCCCATAGTCAATCTCGGGGCATTGTGAGAAGCCTTGCGCAACAAGACGAGCTTTGTAATGCACAATTTTGTTCTTTTCATTACACTTTCTAACGAAAACCCACTTGTAGCTAACGGGCTTCACATGTGGAGGAGTAAGAGTTACAGGTCCAAACATCTTACGTTTCGCAAGCGAATTGAGTTCGACTTAGATTGCTTGTTTCCAATTTGACTAATCAGTTCTACGTCAACATTAATCAACAGAATGGGGTTCAATGTCATCGTTCAACATGATCTTAATAGCTACTGCAAATGTTAATGCATCATCGATAATCATCTCATTTCTACATCAAACATCATCCAAGCTAGCACAATAGACCGAAATCTCTCGATTCTCAGGAGATGGATTCTTCTCTTCAAGGATACTTCCGTAATCTAGAATTTCCTCATGAGTTGGATAGAATGAGTAAGTAACAGTTCACAGTAAGCTCAACAGCCTATGTTGTGGGTTTCCTCTTCTGTGGTTGTGAATCTTTTGAACCAAGAGGTCTTCCACGCTTTTGTGTAGGGGTAGCGAATTGGCTAACCGCTAATGTACATGGATCGGTCAAAGTGGCGTCCGAGGCCTCCAGGAGGGAAGTCCATCGTACATTTGGTACATTCATTTTTGCAAGCACATTTACATCGGGAATATGTGATCTTGTCACTCATGCCAAATTTGTTAAAGCATCTGGCATGCTCTGAGCTACTCTATGAAGACCTAATATACGTTGCACTTCAGTTTCAGACTGAGCGGTATGGGGCTAAATGAGACAAAGTGGGAGTCATCTAAGATAATTCGTGTTATTCTTCAGGAACGGTGACGTTTTTATCTCCCTTTAACAACGAGAAGATTGTCTCATAGAAGTGACAATCCATGAAATGAGCAGTAAAAATATCGCTTGTACAAGGTTTTAAGTAACAAATAATTGAAGGATAACCATATCCGACATAGATATCCATCCTTCGCGGAGGCCCCATTTTTGTTCATAATGGCTGCGAGATCAGCACATAGATCTCACAACCTAAAAACCAAAATCTCGTATATGTGATATGTTGGGTTCGTATCCGGTAACCAACTGAAGTGCGCTATATGGTTGGGTCACAATAGGCCTCAGGCAGACCAACATGGTTGCGTGAAATATTACATGGCCTCAAGTAGCGATCAGGACTTGGTACATATGACGAACGATCTAGCAATCATTTGTAAGCACTTAATGAACGCCTCTACCAAGCCGTTGTGAGTGTGAACATAGGGTACTGGATGTTCAACTTCAACCCCAACTGATATGCAATAGCCATCAAAAGTTTTAGATGTGAATTCTCCAACATTATCCAATCGAATAGATTTAATCGGATAATCAGGGTGGTGAGCCCTGAGCTTGATAACTTGAGCCAACAGTTTAGAGAATGCAACATTTTTTTGGACAACAAGCACACATGTGACCAATGTGTGGGGGCGTCAACCAATACCATAAAATATCTAAATGGTCAGCAGAGAGGATGAATCGCTCCACAAATGTCCCCCTGAATCATTTGTAGAAAAGTAGGAGGATTCGAACGAATCTTGTTATAAGAATGCTTAATGATAAGTTTTCCCATTGAGCAGGTTTGACATGCGATTCCTTGAATCAACCTAAACTTCGGGATAGTGGATGTCCGTGTGAATATTTGAAGATACAACGCATCGCTGTTCGTCCATGGTGTCCTAAACGATCATGCCAAAGTGTAATTTGGTGTGCAGTCTCAGAGGTAGGACCGACCACATAGTGGCTTTCTATAGAACGTATGGTTGTAGTATACAGACCACTTGAGATACGCTGCATCTTCTCTAGAATACGCTTCTGGTCATATTCGTAGGAAGTGATGCATATAAATTCAACTCCATTTTCTACATAGGTTTAAGTGTGGTAATTATTGTCTCGAATGTCCTTGAAACTCAACAACGTTCTTTCGGAACGTGAAAAATAAAGTGCCTCATCTAGACAACATTATTCGTTTCTTACCGTATCCTTCGATTAGGTTGGATGAGCCTAAGAAGGTTGTCAGAAGTGCATTCTTAGGTACGATAAGCAAAACAGTGTGTATGGTTGCACTATCTGCCAAACAACTAACTTTCTCATTAGTCATACCTAGGAATAAAAATTAATTTCAATATGTCACATGCATAAAAGTTCTAAAAGATAAATATCCATTCAAAATAATTTAAGTATTCAAGGATGGTAATTAAAAAGACTTAATATCCAAAAAAAAAAAAATCACCAACAAATAATCCAAACATAAAGGAAAATTATTCAAACTTGAACAAAAAACAAGGAGGGTTTGGCCACTAGGTGAAATTCGGCCCCCCAAGGTTCTAAACTCAACTAAAAATAATTTATGTATAAGATTCTAATCTTCCATAGAGGTAATAGCCTCTTGAAAATCAGAAACCTCCATTTTGGTACTCTCTAGTTCATCCACTTGCATAAAGTTCGATTCAAACTTCTTACGACAAGAATGATATTCAGCTACAAACTGTCGAGGGAGCACGACGGCCAATGGTCATTTGAACCACAACGATAGCACATGTTCGCATCCATGGTGTCAGTGCTTTGCCCTTATTCATGAAGTTCAGGGCCTTGGGAGCGAGGTTAGAATGCTTATGGGCTCGGTTTCCTCCCTTAGATAGGCTTTGGCTCTGTTGACCTTGATGGGGTGGCTTCTGACCGCCTTTACCACCCCTATGTTGGCGTTTTGGGAAATTGTTTGTGCTATAATGTGTTTCAAGCATAGCAGTTGCCCTAGTAGGTCGAGCTTGATGATTCTTCATCAACAACTTATTCTGCTTTTTAGCGAGAAGTAAAACAGAGATCAAATCCTAAAACTTAGTGAACTTCTGAGCCCTATATTGTTGCTGCAGGACAATATTGGCAGCAGAGAAGGTCGAATATATCTTCTCCAGGAGATCCTCTTCAGTCCAGTTCTCGTTACAAAACTTGAGAAGTGATCGGATTCGACAAACTTCAGAATTATATTCATTTGTAGACTTAAAGTCTTAGAAGTGTAGATGCTACCAATCATGTCTTGCTTTAGCTAAGAAGATGTCATTTTGGTGATCAAAGCGATCAGCCAAAGCAACCCAAAATGCTCGTGGATCTTCCTTAGCAAGCTACTCGGTTTGCAGTGCATCATGAATGTGTCTTCGGATAAAGATTATGGCAGTGGCTTTCTCAGTTTTGCCAACCGGGTTGTCTGTCTCATCTTCAATGACTGGGCGCAAATTCTTTGCGATGAGGTGGAGCTTCACATTTGGACCCACTTGAGGTAGTTTTTTTCCAAAGACCTCTAAAGCGGTGAAGTTGAGTTTGTTCAAATTTGACATGTCTTTATCACAAAATAAATGGACAAGAATGTTGTTAGTGTAATGGAGAAAATCAATAGACAATGGTTTAAAGTTACATGAAAAAAATTTCGGGTTTTCATGGGTGATGTTTTAAGGAAAACTTCAGGTTTTCAAATAAGGCATGTTTTCTAGAAATTTCAGGTTTCGAAAAAATTATGAACTTCAAGTTCATATGTTCCTGCAGATAAACACAAATATATTATATATATATATATATATATATATATATATAATATGCAACAAGAAATATGCAAATAGATCTTTGGGTCTAGAATTATAACTGAATTAATTATTTAGATTTTGGGCCAAAATTAAAGTGTGGGTGAAAAATTATAAAACTCAAAAGTGCCGAAAAAAAATAGGTAATTAAAACTTGGGGCCCAAAACAGTGGACCAAAGCCCACGGGTGGGCTAAGTAATTACGGTCGTGCGGCCCAGGCCTAAAATCTGGGCTGGAAAAAAGAGTACAGGCTGATCAGGCCAAGGGGCTGCAAGCCCAGCAGCAACAAACGAGCTGGAAAAAAAAAGGACCCAAAACAAAGGCCCATATGGGCGCTGATTAGGTGCGGTGCGATGCACCGAAACTTAGCCTTTTGGCTAAGGTCATGGTCTGAAATGTCGATATTATCAGCGTATTTCGGTTATAATATCATTTTTGTGGGAGAGCGATATTTTCACACTTATCCACTGAATTATTGTAAAAATATCGCGATATTATTGATATTATCGATAATATCGCGATAATATCAATAATATCGCAATATTTTAGGCCTGGTACGAATTGGAGAAGAGCACCCTAGACTCTGATCTAGGTATCAAAATGAAACACAAGACGAGAGGAATGTTTTTATAACTTCTGTTTGCCGTGAAACGGTGGTGTTCGGAAAGTTCCTCGACACTCACGGCCTTGCCGGAGCTGGGTGTGCCTTCCACCGGGTTGATCTTGTTCTAAAACCTTGTTAAAAAAACGATAAAACTTAGTATATCTCAACCACACAACATCCAAGATGAATTGAGATAACCGAGGCTTACCTAACCAGAGAAGGATCAACAGAACTCGCCGGAGAGTTCTTGGGTTCCACTGTCATAGCTACACTGAGAGAAAAGGAGAGAAAGACGAGGTTTAGATGGTGATGATATGCCGTTGACGGAGTACTACGAAGGGTGTGCGGTGACTGGGTGTGTGTGTGTGTTCGACGGGAAGATGAGAGAACACAGAGGCTCAGGGAAGAAGAGGAAAAGGAAGAGAGTGTGAAGGAGGGAAAGAGAAGAGAGAGAGAGAGAGAGAGACGAGTTAGGCTTAGACCACCCGAGGAACAACAAACAAAGGTGGGCCTCGTGGCACACCTATTAAGACTAAAAAACAATTTTAAAAGCAAAAAATCTGCTATCTTTATCTTCAAACATTATGTCGACTTGACTTTGCTCAAAAGAACCAAAAAATCTGCTATCTTTATCTTCTTATCCACGTGAAGCCCTTTTTTCACATCAAAATGAACCAAAAAATCTGCTATCTTTATTTCTTATCCACGTGAAGCCCTTGTGCATGTAAGAGTTGAACCAAAAGAATTGTTGCTTTTGATTTTGTCCCCACGTGATGCCTTTGAAATATCTTTAATCCCCTAAACTCTATATATAAATCTAAACGGTATATATATATATATATATATATATATATATATATATATATATATGTATGTATGTATAAATCTCAAACTTTTGACGACTTTGACCCTTCGAAAATTGAAAAACCTCTATTACACCTTTTCGTTTCTTCTTCTTCCCTTAGCCCTTTCAGAACCTTTCCAGAGCCCTTTCAGACCTTCAAACTGAATAAATGGATCTGCAGCTCGTGCCACTTCAAATTAAATGTTAAATACCTTCTTTCTCTGTCATTTATTCACAGACGGCAAGCTGCAAAGGATCGTCGAGGTTCTGCTGCTACGTACGACATCGAAAGTTCCAGATTTGTTACATTTGTGTAATTATTATTTTATTGTTGGTCCACGCAAATTCTATTTGGCCTTTACACAAAGGGTTCCATATTTAAGGTAAGTTTACAAACTTATATTTATATTATTTTAATTTATACAACAAAAAAAAATTGTGTGGACCCGTGCATGTGATCTAAGAACCAAATAATACTTCCATGTTAATTTTTTGAAGTAATTAAGTAATGTTGTATAATTAGTCCCTAGGATAATTTTAATGTGTTTAATGTTATATTATTTTATTATCAAATTGGATTATTATTCATTAATATTAGGTTTTATTATTCCATATTATTTTTATAATTACTTAAATTCTTACAATCATTTTCTTTACTTCCTATTTAATTCCTCTGTAGAATAACTTTATTATTTAGGTTCTCTTATATAACCGTCACTACTATATTTTTTGGCCAAAAAATAATTGCCTAATTTCCATGAAAAATAAATATATGTACGTTTAAGATGTATAGTGGAGTTACTAAACGTGATCCAGCTTGGGAACATGGAGACCCAATAGATGGAAACAAACATGGCACAATTTGCAAATATTGTGGTCGGGTAATGAAGAGTGGTGGAGTGACACGACTTAAGTATGATCTTAGTGGATTAGATCCAGGAAATAATGTCCAACCATGCGATAATGTCCCCCCAGAAGTGAAGGCATTTATCATCACATTATTAAAAAAATAAAAAACACCAGAAGGAAAAGAAAACACATGGAATGGAAAATATTCGAGCTGGGCTACGAGGAGAAGTCATTGGCCAAGCGGTTGACAGTGATGATGATGACGATGAGGACAAATGTGATGATGACATGGGACCTGAAGAACAACGCAATTTCAAACAAGCATTACGTGCCTCCAAACAGTCAGCATGGGAAAGAGAACACCTTCATAAAATTCCTAATAGAGCATAAGGTTCCTGGACAAGTGGTGGTGCACAAATGAGACGGGGAGCAAGTGTTAGAGAATCACAACCAACACCACCAAAAGCCCCAAGGTTATATAAGTCATCCAAAGCACGTCAAAAGAGTGTTTGGAGTTATTTCACTGGAGGTAATGTGAAGGAGGGAATGGGGCATCTAATTAGCAAGTTCTTTATCTATGAAAATGTCCCTGCTAAGAAGACATCTTCACATCATTTCAAAAATATGGTATTGGGATGTTAACAGGCCGATGTTGGAGTACAACCTCCCACTCCCTATGAGGTAAGAAACAAATATTTGAAAATGGAGTATAAAGACATTGGCAAGTATGTTAACAAGTTGAGGTCAAAGTGGAAAACTAATGGTTGCACAATCATGTGTGACAGATGGACTGGCCCGACCAAATTGTCTATCATAAAATGGTATACTCCAAGGGAAAGACAATTTTTTTTTAAGTCCATTGATGCTTCAGACCATATAAAAAACTACAAGTATATTTACAAATTATTGAGGGATGTAATCATGGAGGTGGGAGAGCATAATGTTGTCCAGGTTGTGGCCGACAACGGTTTTGCATTTGTCAAAGCTGGAAAAAAGTTAATGAAGCATCATAATGTGTTTTGGACATCATGTGCAGCACATTGTATTGATCTCATATTTGAGGCAATGGGGAAGAGAGAGAATATTGCTACCGTCGTAAAAAGAGCTAGAACGATCACAAATTATATAAATAATCACGGTTGGTTGTTGGCAAAAATGCGTGAATTTTGCAAAGGAGAAATTATTCGTCCAGCTACCACTTGATTCGCCACCAACTATATTGCATTAGACAGCCTACTTAAGAAGAAAGTAAGGTTGAAGCAACTATTCACTAGTGATGATTGGGCCAACCACAATTTCAGCCACTCAAATGCAAGTCATATGGTGGAAAGTATAATGTTTGATCATGCTTTTTGGACTCAATCAGAACATGTGTGCCAAGTGTTTGAACTTCTTTACAAAGTTTTACGGATCGTTGACTCAGAAGTGTATCCTACTATGAGGGCAATATATGAGTTGATGCGTGTAGTGAAGGATGACTTGGAAAGTAAACATGGTGCAAGGTGGGTCATAAAGATAATTGATGACCGATGGTATAAAACATTATACCACGATTTGCATGCAGCAGGTATAAATTATGTCATAATTTGCAATTCATTTCTTTAGTTGCATAAGTGTTATTTCTCTTATTAGAGTATGTGTTTCTTTGAACAACATATTATTTGAATCCTGGATACCAATACAGACTCGGTGTTGGAGATGATGGTACCCTTATACGTGTTGTACATAATGTATACTCTAAATTGGACCCTGCATCACCAGCAGTTGGCCAATTTGGAAATGAGGTACACAATTACTTAAATTATAATAATTACATTGTTGGATTAAACTAACACGATTTATTGAATTCAGCTAACATGGTTTTAAGATGCAAAAATAACTTTTGGAGAACCAACATCAGTTGCTACTTGAACAAAAATGTCTCCTAATTAGTGTAAACATATTTCACTATAAGTTTATAATAGAATTTGTTGGAGTTATTAGGCTTATCAACATTGTTTTTCATTATAGCTGAATGGTGGATCATGTATGAGATTGATGCACCAACTGTGAGAAAGTTAGCAATCAAAGTATTATCACAAACAGCTTCCTCATCTACTTGTGAAAGAAATTGGAGTACATCTGCACTCATACACACAAAGCAAAGAAATAGGTTGGCTCATAGCAGGTTGGAAAAATTAGTTTATTGCTACTACAACATGAAGCTTCAAATTCGAGATAAGGAAGCAGAAATAGATCATGTCGACCCTGGTGACCCACTAGATGTGTTTGATATTGTTGCTGAAGATGATGATACAGTGGGTAACCAACTTTATCAATGGATTAGACCTCTTCAATTAGATGATGATGAAGGCAACCCAGCTCCGAGAGTTGCTGAAGAAGCACGTAATGAAGGGATAAATGTAGAAAGAGTATTAGAGGAGGAGGTGGGATCTAGCAGCGCTGACTCTTTGGAAGAACTTTTGCGTCCAAGACCAAGAAACACTGGAATTCCACCTTCTTCCAATCGTACACAACCACAAGATCATGCTGATACTAATGATAGCTCTAGTACAAGATCAGGAAACTCACCTACCACCAGAGGTGGGAATGATGAAGGATATAGTGGAGCTGGAGGTAGTGGTGGATATGGAAACTATGTTTGACCACCTCCCGGATTTATGAGCCCCTTCACTGGTGAGGCAAACTTCACTCATGCAACACAGGATGAGGATCATGGCAGTAGGCGGGCAGGACCAGGAATTTGTGCCATAGGAAAGGACTATACTCGTAGAGAAAGAGACAAGAGGATTTTGTCAAGTCAAGAAGATGACTCGTTATCTATAACTTCGGACTCTGTTGGAGTGGGAAGTAGTAACTGTGGTTATACTCATAACCAACCATTTCCCTGCCCTTCATATCTCATTCTTGTTGGAATGGAATCGAGTGACTCATGGAAAGAATCTGAGACTCAATCTTCAAATGATTTTGCTTATGGACAACGTCAACCAATCTCGGATCCATATGGGTGGCATGTTAACAATTACATGCAAAACTATTTTGGAGATTTATCATTTGATGACTACTCTTCACAATACATTTACTCTACACATAGAGATGATGAAGATAGTGAAAAATTTGAATCTCATAGGAACTCTGTGTGGTACTAAGTCATTCATGTATCTTATCATGCAATGTATAAAAGTGTAAAATATTGTACTAATTCATTATATATAAATGATTATGGTGTGTTTAAACTTCTTTTATTAATTACTACATATTTTCTACACTCACAATGTTTGCCAGCTTGCTATATAATCAACTTAAATCAGTTAAATACATCATGCAATGCATTTCCTTCCAATTTTTTGTGATAAACTAATAGATAATTGACTAAATAAACATCCTGCAAAGTTTCAATAAAAATTTCCAAGTTTTGCTTACAATTTCCGTGGTTTTTATTCAATTTTTATCGATATCGATAATATCCCGATATTTCCGTCGAAATTTCCGTATTTTTGAACTACCGATATTTCCGATATTATCGATATTTTATACCTTGGCTAAGATCCAGTATAGATGGTGGGAACAAATTTCGTGACTTCCGTCTAAGTTTCATCTTCCTCAAAGATTTATTTACATCGCATCATAACCAAGTAACGTTTTGCCATGTGAAAGAAGACTTACGCATGACATTAGAAAAGTTTTATTTGGATCCATATAACTGCACTCTACACCTTACTTACTCTCTACACCCATGTTATTTTTAATTCAATTATCAATATCTCTTTAAACCCAAACTTACTACCTAAACTACCATCACAAACTCAAT